CGCCTCCCCCCTTCCTCCCCGCCTCGTGGGTGAAATCCGTGAGGCCTCGGCCTGCAGCTCGAGGCCGGGCGACAGATACACGTCGCTCGTCTCGAAATGTGCGGTGCGCGAGCGACAGAAGGTCGGCGAGGACTGGCGCCGGCGAGCAGTTCGGGAAGACGTAAGGGACGGTGACACGGAGCGCCTCCCCTCGGCCGTGCCCCCGGGCGCCGCGGGAGTGGCAGGGAGAGGTAAGGGGGGGAGGCGATGGAGAGGAGGAGGAGGAGGAGGAGGAGGAGGAGGAGGAGGAGGAGTAGGGGGAGGAGGAGGAGGAGGAGGAGGAGGAGGAGGAGGAGGAGGAGGAGGGAGGAGGAGGAGAGGAGGGAGGAGGATGAGGAGGAGGAGGAGGAGGAGGAGGAGAGGAGCGGGTGGGGGGGGGGGAGGGGGAGGAGGAGGAGGAGGAAGGTAGGAGGACGAGGGGGAGGAGGAGGAGGATGAGGAGGAGGAGAGGGGGGGGAGGAGGAGGAGGGAGGAGGAGGAGGAGGAGGAGGAGGAGGAGGATGAGGAGGGAGGAGGAGGAGGAGAGGAGGAGGAGGAGGAGGAGGAGGAGGAGGAGGAGGAGGAGGAGGAGGACCAGTGCAACCCCAAGACAACGCATCAACGGTGTTGCAGCTTCCCCCTTCATCTAGCCCTACAAGAAAAGATGTCCATTGCGAGAAGTGCCCAATCGTAAGACAACCGTCTGGGAACCCTCAATCGTGCCCAAAACACCATTCCTGGGACGTCAACACCAGGAATCAACATGACTGTTACACCCTGACAATGTAAATCCAACAAGAACGCTTCTCCTGGGACTTCAACACCACGAGATCAACCTGACTCTTGCATCCTGGCGTACATCAATCGTGTCACAAGATCATTCCTGGGACGTCAACCACGCGAATCCTTGAAACGATTGCAAACTTTTAGGACGAATGTTCGCGACGAATGTGCGCGGCGCTAAGGCGAGAGCCACATGTTGAAAACGGCCAGCCCTTCATCCTTGCAACGGTTGCAGACGTTTGAGACGAACGTGCGCGATGCTAAAATGAGAGCAACCTCTTGAAGACGGCCCACCATCCTTGAAACGGGTTGCATACATTCAAGGCGTATGTGCGCGGCGCCAAGGCGAGAGCCACATTTTGAAAACGGCCCGCCCCCCATCCTTGAAACCGTTGCACATATCAAGCTTCAGGATCATAAATGGTGACGAAGTCTCTGGCGAAATGCCCAGCCCGCCCTACCGACACGTTCGGGGGTGCGACAGGGAGGGGTTAGTTATAAGGTAAAGGGATGGACAAGGAGGAGGGATGATGCAGGGGAGGGAGGAGGAGGGAGAATGGGGAGGGGAGGCAAGAAGAGGAGATTTTTTTTCAACATCGACAACCACGACGCCAACGATCTGGCGGACTCAGATGAGCAAGCTCAACCTGCACAACTCCATGAAGCAGTGGGAGATGCCGTAATCATCGGTGAGGACGTTTACCACGGCGTTGTGGCCCTCCGCAGGAGCTAGCACTGCCGCCCACCTCGCAGTCCCAGTCTGGGACACGAGCACTGCCAGGAGCGAAGACGAACTTGTCCTCCGTCGACTTCTCGGCGGAGGCGAACCTCATCGCGAAGATCCCCACGGGTGCCAGGGCATTCGAGCATGATGCCGACGCCGCCACGGGCTCCGAGGGCTCCTTCTTCACGATACTCTCATCGAAACCGTCACGAACCGACGCCTTCCAGAACTCGCCGACCTCGCCGAGGATCTTGCACTCCGTCGACTCACCTGCGGAGGCGGCCTCGGCGATGGCACCTGGAAGCCGTGGCCCCTTTAGGGGGGGCGAGGCCATCCGCGAAGGCGAAGGACGGGAAACCCTTGGTATGACGAGGTCATTGGCACCCGTCCCCACGAGGGCCACCACCTCGAGCTCCAGGGGCGCCTCGGGCTTGAACCTCAGGCCCTCGAAGCACTTCACCTCATCCTTGAACTCCAGGAGTGCTTGGTCCGCCTTCTCCTGGTACTGCAGGTCCTCCTCGTCAAGGTCGTTCACGTTGCTCTCGGCTTCGTCGAACTCCTTGAACTCCAGGAGCGCCTGGTCGACCTGGTACTGCATGTCCTCTGCGGCAAGGCCGTTCATGGTGCACTCAGCCTCGGTGCCTTCGCCCTCCTCGTTCATCTCCTTGAAGCCTATCACGTCGGCAACGTCCGTCGGGATCGTGACGTCAAGGGCGTCGAGTAGGACATCGACATGCTGGTACTGCAGGTCCTGCGTGGCAAGGCCGTGCATGGTGCTCACGGCCTCGGTGCCATCAAACACGATATCCGTCAACCACGCGCGGAACTCCTCCACCACCACGACGTCGACAGCGCGGGGAACGGCTGGGAAAGACGGCAGGCCAGGAGGTGCCTGGTGCTTCGCCCAATTCCCGCTGGCCAGCTTCTCCGCGTAATCGTCGAGCTCAGCCGTGGGCAGGCCGAGCAACTTCGCAGCCTTGAGGGTGTCCGCCATGCCTGTCAGGTGCCCGCCCAGCTGGTCGCCCAAGCTCCAGTGCGCCGACAGGGCGGTCCTGAACAGCTTGCAACGCGTTGCGAGGGCTTGCGCACGGGTCTCGCCGATGCGAAGCCTCGCCTGGCGCCGGAGCCGCCTCGCGAGGGTGCGGGCGGAAGCCGCAGCCCATTGGCGGCCCGGCGACATGCGGCCGCTTGCGCGCCTGCGCCTGGCACAGGCGCGCTGGCGAGGGCCTCCCGAAGCACGGCTCACTTGAGCCAAAATGGCTACGGAGGCAAGAAGAGGAGAGGAAGGAGGAGGTCGGAGGAGGAGGGGGATGAGGGAAGAGGAGATGGAGAAGCGGAGGACGAAGGTGGAGATGACGCTCGTACGTAAAAATAGAATGAGGACAGACGCTACGATGCTTGTTCATCCAACTCTGGGCATAACATCAAAAGACAGCAGGAAGGAGTAAATATCGAGGATCGAAGATCCATGAATCAAGTATTTTGAAGCTTCTGGGAGCCTGCAGAAACCCTAGGGCTCTCCGTTTTGAAGATTCTGGGACCTCTGGGCAGCTGCCTCTGGGAACCTGCCTTCAGGGACCTGCCTCTGGGGACCTGGGGGATGTGAGGAAGGACGAACGAGGGCAACATGCAATGCAGGGACGCCCAAGCCGCACCACGCAAGTGCAGCACTGCATCTTCCGCAGGGGAAGGGGCAGAAGGGGGGATCTTCAGCAACCTGTCAATGTGCTACTCCAAGAAGGGCCTCTGCCCACCGCAGAACCTACACCTGTCCTTCCCTCGCGCGACCTCTGGCCTACCGTCCTCCGTGAGGAGGAGGAACGGGAGGACTCCGACAAGCACGACGACCCTGATGACTACGACTGTGACTAGGACGCCCACTATGACCACAGCCACGACCGCGACCACGACGACGACGACGACGACAACGACGACGGCGACGACGACCACGACGACGACGACCACGACGACGACGACGACCACGACGACGACGCCCAGCACCGACACTAATGCGACGATGTCGACGTCGAGAGGTCGGAGGCGGCGGGGGGGCGGCCGAGGAGAGGAGGGGAGGGCGGAATGGAAGGGCGGAGGGGAACGGGAGACGGGAAGGGCCAGGGGCTATGGGCAGCGGGAGGCGGATGAGCACGCCACCATCCCATCCTCCCACCCCACCAGCAGAGGAATGCCCCCCCCAGTCCTCTCAGCGGTAGAAGGCGGGAATGAAGGTAGCCTTCAGAGGGATGATGAACACATTGTAGTGGTAGGTGCTTCCTGGGAGACCATCCTTACGGCCACTGGCCCAGCCCTGCTATCCCTCTGCACGCCTGCGCTGCCGCACTGCTCTCGTGGATCCGGTGCCCAGCACAGGAAAACCCTGCGATCCATCCCTCTGCGGCTTCCCCGAGGGGACCCTCGAAGGCACTGTCAGCCCCTCTGTTTCCGTGCGTGAGCTCTCAGACTGAGAGAGCAGAACTGACCATGGGAAGGATGACCTACGACCCCTGGGCGTCCATTCTGACGGAATCCCCTCAAGTCTGTGCGAGGCCGTTGGACCCTCGGCGTGGCCAAGGGTGGGCCGCCCCTGCAAGGGTGCGAAGGCGGCTTGGTTAGGCCAAGGCCGTCCGCGGCGACAGCATACAATCGAAAACCAATTATAGGGGGAAAACAAACCTACCTCGCTTTTGACCACCCTCGCTTCCAAGAGATACCAAACGATGCCAAATTGCAGCCTGTGCTGGTCAGGCCGCTTGACGAGGAGGCGCGTGGTATGGCTTGGTTTTGCCTGGAAGCGAAAGCGGGGTAGGTAATTCACGCTCTGAAATTACATCTGACAGCGAAACCGAAACCGACCAAAACCGACAGGCCGCAACCAGCCTGAAGGGCGCAGCGAAAGCCAGCAGCGACGACACCAACGACCCACCGAAGACCGGAAACGGACGCGGCCGACTGCGACGCGGCCGAACCCCCCCAAACCGCGGGCACCCTCTTGAGAGCACGGCAGGCTCCTGCGTGGACGCCGTGGACCTTGAGCTCTGACACCGGGTTGGACCAGAAAACAAACGGGAGGAGGAGGAGGAGGAGGAGGAGGAGGAGGCTTGGCGCATGCCAGGAAATATCTGGCGTGGGCTCCTGCGCGGCCCACGCTGCGGCGCCCGAGGGGCCGCAGCGCAGGCCACGGAGGGCCCTGGGCGGGGTGGTGTCGATTGCTTCTTGGTCGACGTGTGGACCCTCGAGAGATCTCCGCTCTCGGCGCGCCCTGGTGGCTATCCAGCCACGTCGTCGTCGTCGTCGTCGTCGTCGTCGTCGTCGCTGCCGTCGTCGTCGTCGTCGTCGTCGTCGTCGTCGTCGTCGTCGCCGTCGCCGTCGTCGTCGTCGTCGTGGTCGTCGCCGTCGTCGTCCTGGTCATCGTCGTCGTCGTCGTCCTCGTCGTCGCCGTCGTCGCCGTCGTCGTGGGCTGGTCGCTGGTGGTCCCGGGGCCCACGACCGGCCCCCGGGGGGGGGGGGGGGCCGCAGAGAGCCTCGACGACGCGCGCGCTGGCGCCGCCGCGTCGTCGAGGGGCGACGCGGACCTGCAGCAGACGTGCTCATGGGGGGCAACGACAGGGGTGGGGACTGGCACAGGGGGGGGCTGCATCAGCCTGGAGGCGGCGCTGCATCGCCGAGAGGTCGGCGAGGGGCCCCCGATGGGGCACGCGCACCTTCCTGGGCGGGCCTGGGGCCATCGGGCCCCTGTCGGCGATCAGCGGGCCCCCTATGCTCAGGTCGGGCATGTCCCCCTACAAGCGGATTTGGACGAAAAATGAAAAATAGTCAACGGATAAAAAAAAACTAACTGTTTTCTGACTTGTTTGAAAAAAATCCTCCTGCAGAGGGACACGCCCGACTCAAGCCTATGCCCGTCCACATCCTGCCGCTGCCCCCGCTTCTCCGGCCTCCGCAGGAGGCACCCCCTCTCTGAGTCGGTCGGCGGCGGGCCCCAAGGGGGGGGGGTAGGCGCAGGGGGCGGGCCTCCCGAGGAGGCCGCGCAGGCCTGCGGCCCTCTGGGGCGGCTTGCGGAGCCCTCCCTCCCCGAAGTTTATGCTGCTCCCATCGTGCTTAAATCGGTGGTCTCCAAGCCAGGTGGTGAGACACCCGGTGGTGACCCCGATTCCCCAAAGAAACAATTCTGGGTCACCACCGGGTATGGGGACACGCGGTCGCCACGAGGTTTTGCGTTTCCTGGGCCAGCCAGCGCTCGAAAACCATTACCCAAATCGCCCAAAACTCACCACCGGATGTTCTCACCACCACGTTTGGGGACCACCAATTAAAGACCACCTCCCAAAAATACTTTCGAGCACCCGGAAAAGTGTCCAGAAAGTGTCGAAACCGGTGTCGAAACAGCGTCGGGCGAGTGTGTCTCCCAGGGCCCGACACGTGAAAACCGTCGAGTTTCGGTACTTCGTGGGGGCTCGAAATTCTTTCTGGTGGTCAAGGCTAAAGTAGGTTGGAATATCATAATCCGAAGTCAGGGAGGGCCTCCGAGAAGGGCCGAGGGCTTCCGAGAAGCCACGCTGGCTTCTGAGACGCCCCGCACCTTCACTCAGGGGAACGAGCAATGACGTAAACTTAAAAAACTCGGAGGTCCGCGCGGATTTCTCCGATCGGCGCTGGACCCCCTCTCTGGCGCGCGGAGCGCGCCAGGGGCGGCGCCGGAGGCGCCGCCAGGGGGGCCCAGCGCGGATCCGAGAAATCTGCGCGGACCTCCGAGTTATTATGTTTATGTCATCTTTCGTTTCCCTATCACTTCCCCCCTCGGCGCGCCGCCGAATGAGGCTCTGCCAGGTGCCCTTGGCGGCTTTGCCGGGGTCATTGCCGATTGCCTGTTGCGTACCGAAGTTTGTGCTCCTGCCGTTCTGAATGTTCTGTCCAACCTTCTGAGGAGGGGCGGAGAGGGCAGGTAGAGGGGGGGACAGCCGAAGTCATCCTCGAATCGGAAAATCGGATCGGATGAGAACGGGTATCGATTCGGGCTGCATCAGCTTGGAGTCGAGGCCGAATCGAATCGGCCTCACCAAGATGCATGTTGACGCCATGCAAGAAGTCGTCGGGAAATCGCCAGCGAATCCGATCGAGCTGGCCAGCATCGATACATAATCGGATCAACGTGGACCGTGGAGAGAGGGCACATGTGGCTTATTTGCAAGTCGGGCGCGTCCCCCTACAGAAGACCTATGTTTTGAGTATTTTTTCACCATTTGGGAATATGTTTTGAGCATTTTTCATTTTTCGCCGAAAATCCCCCTGTAGGGGGACAGGCCCGACTTAAGCTTATTTACATGTTGCCGACCGCGTGGGGGGGGAGACGGGGATGGCAGGGACAAGGAGGCGGGAGGACGAGGGCAGGCGAAGGAGACGCGGAGTGGAGGGAGGGAGAGAGGGCCCCTGGGGGCAGGTGGCCACCGCTCTCGGACCCTGCTGCCCGACTGCACCCCCAGAAATTCGGTGCACGGCTTCCTTCCCCCTCTGCTCTCGGACGGTGTCCCCCGAGGTCCTCAATCAACCTCCTCCCGCCTCCGCCGCTTGCCCGGCCCCCCCCACGCCCCGTCCTGTCTGGGGGGTGGTAGGGAACCAAGGCCGAGAGAGCAGTGGGGGAGGAAGACTCGCTGTGGCCCTGGATGGCGTGAGGGAGAGTTGCGGCAGCTTTCTGGTGCAAAGAACGTGTCGCGCTCCCGCCGGAGCACTCCTCAGCCAAGTGTCTGCGGCAGCATGCTTGCAACGAGATGGCGAAAGTAAGCTCTCTGAAGGCAACGAGCTCACTGAAGGCAACCAAGGCGGAGAGAAAGGAGTAAAGAAAACGCGTTTCGGACGGTGGGTCCTCCTCCGCAAAGCACCAGCTAAAAAACAGAAGAGGATACAGAGAGAGCGAGAGATTGAAATAAATGCTTTAAAAAAGATTGAACAAAATAGACAAAAACGAAATGATAAGAAAT